CAAAAACATACATAGGTTTTCACTCATTTCACTCACACCACCTTCTGTTAAGGTCCAGTTCACAGATGCATACCCTACTATTCTCCTTTAGAATTCTTGATACAATCCAGAATCCAAAGCTGTCCTGGCCAAAACCAGCAAAACAGCCCCACATCATGATACTACCTCCACAGTTGTGGTGAGGATCTTATGCTGGAATGCAGTGTTTGGTTTTGCCAAACATAACATCTCTTATTTAAGCCATAAAGATCCATTTTGCTTTTTCCATCTACATAACATTATTTCAATAGACTTCTGGCTCATTGTGTGGTCTTTACAGAAACTTAAACAAGCAGCAAAATTCCTCCCAGATAGTAGTGGATTTCTCCATGCTACAATTCAATACATGCTACTCTAGTTCAGTTTGCCAGATTTTGGACCCATGAACACTGACATTAGCCCGTGTAAGAGAGGAGTGCAGATCCTTAGATGTGACCCTGGGGTAACTTTAGTCGTGGAGTCATTTTTGTTGCATGACCACTTCAGGCAAGGGTAACGGTGGTGTTGATTTTCCTCCAATTGGACACTATCTACATGACAGTGGATCAATGAAGTCCAAAAAAATTATCAGACATAGTTTTGGAACCTGTTCCAGCCTAATAAGACTTGGTGTGCACTAACAAATGTGTGTGGTAAAGACCAGACTTTGATGGTATTTTCAAATAGTGTAGCCATGCTCATATATCATTGTCATTCAATTGACTGAACGTCACAAAATGAAATTCACAAAATTATAAAGGGTTCACAAACTTTCAAGCAGCACTGTACATGTCCACAGTGTTTCTCTCTCTCCCTTTTTTCGTATATTATTATCTCTTTATAACTGTGTTTCCTGTTAAATATAAAGGTAGTTTTGGAAAGGGTGGGTAGGTGGAGAGAGGGTCTGTGATTTTGTTATGGGTAGCAAGTGCTGTGAAAAAGTATTGCCTATTCCCAATTTCTTCTTTCTTCAATTTTTGCACATTTGAATGTTTGAGATCACCAAACTACTTTCAATATTAGACAGATGACTCAAACAGAAAATTATGTTTTTAAATAATTATTTCATTTATTTAAGAAAAAAATGCTGTTCAGCCCTAGCTGGCCCTATGTAATAAAAAGTAATTGCCCCTAATAAATTAACCAGTTAAACAAATTCAGTTGACTTTTGGATTCAATTTCACTAGCCCCACACCAGGCAACATTACTGCCAGATCTGTTGAATCTAAACATTATTATTAAGTCATTAAAATCTACCAGTTTGGAAAATGTTACAAAGCCATTGCTAAGACTCTGAGACTCCAGTGAACCACAATGAGAACCATTATCCAAAAATGGAAAAAACCTGGAACAGCGGTGAAACTTCCTAGGAGTGGCCAGCCTACCAAAACTTCACCAAAACTGCATTGACTACTCTTCCCGGAAGTCAGAAAAGAACGCACATGTACATATAAAAAACTGTAGGCCTCACTTGCCTCAGTTAAGGTCAATGAACACAATTCCACAGTGAGAAAGACACTGGGCAAAAATGGCATGCACTGGAGAGTTGCAAGGTGCAAACCACTGCTGACCAAAAACAACATTAAGGTTGTCTAGCATGTGCCAATAAATATCTACATGACCCCCCAGACTTTTGAGATAGTTTTCTGTGGACTGATGAGTTAAAGATGGAGCTTTTTGAAAGACGAGTCCCGTTATGTCTGGTGTAAAGCTAACTCCACGTTTTACTATAAGAACATCATACCAACATTCGAGTATGGTGGTGGTAACATGATGATCTGAGGCTGCTTTGCTTCTGCAGGAGTTGGAAGAATTGTCATAATTGATGGAACTATGAATTCTGCTATCGGAAAATCCTGAAGGAGAATGTCCGCTCATCATTTTCAAATTCCAAATGGAAACAAAAAAGTGGCCAGGTCAAAGTCCTGACTTGAATCCCATTGAGGGGCTGTGGCAAGACATTAAACTGGCAGTTCATGCTGGCACAACTAGTTGTTGATGATGGAACGTTTAAATGTGACGAATTAGCAAAAATAGAGGAAATCAGGTGAGGGTCAAGTACTTTATTACAGCATGGATTTTTATTTTTTTTTTACAGTATGTAAAATACCTGTCCATTTAATTAAAAAAAGTATTTTAGAAAGAAGACATTTTTTCATACACACACACACACACACACACACACACACACACACACACAATTCCCATGATACCTTGCAGTTAAAGGTGGTCCTCAGTGAAGTTGGGCGCTAGTTATTTCTGAAGTTGGGGGGTGTATGGGATATGCTGTCAGAGTCTAGAGTTTCATCATCCTACTGTTCCCTTCCAGAACACACATATACACACACACACACACACACACACACACACACACACACACACATATTTCAAACCCTCCTTCCCTCTCTCCTTCAGTAGAAGATCTCCCTATTGTTCTAAAAATATTCTGTGTATGCAGGCCGTAAGGATGAGAACTTATCTCTGACGGTCCTCCAACATAATTCAGCTCTCTCTGCCTGACACCTGGAGTAAGCTTCATCACCAGCAGATCTCTCTACACTTCATCAATATACCAAAACACTAACACTACAAACTCTACCAATACCACCCACCTATACACAGCACATTAATACACAACACACTATTATCACACTATACTAATAATTAGTGTGATAACCACATCCCTTACATTAGTATCATCAAACAACAATAAAAAAGAGCCACCTTCCCACCAGCACACTGACCATGTGTTCAGCACGCAGAGAAAAAAGGAGCAGCGAAAACTGACTGAGAGGCTGCTCCTAATGCTATCGTACAGACTGAGGATGTTGTTTATCAACATGTGCAGCACATTTCTTCAATAACCTGTTTAAGCATGGCAAGTAATGTGATAAAACCATAGAGAAGACCTTTTAAACAGGAGAAAATAAACACTTGCTCTTGGTATGGTTTGGTATTTCCTCTTCAGTTTTTAATAAATTGTGCATTTACATCCTACAAATTGCTTCTTGTTAAAATAATAAAATGGCAAATGAATACCGTGTTAGCCTAGTTACTGCAGCCTACTACTGTTATTATGCTATTCACCTTTGTCATTTTACTTTTAAATAATTCTTTAAATTAATATAACCACATATTTTGCGAGAAGATACATTCCATTCAAGCAAATGGAATAGTCTGCATTGCACTGGCTCTGTACCTGTGCTCTGCAAAATTGAATCTGATCTAATCTAATTTGAGGCTGCATAAATGGATTTATCTGTTTAGCAAGCATGGGTACTTAAAAAAATCAGTTTGCTTACATGGCATCCTAATAAATACATTCAGATTATCAATCACTAACAACAATTAGACCATGCTGCTAACAGTACAGTGGAGCTGACTGCAGTGCTAGTGCTAGCTTAGCCAACAGCCTAACAGGCCCAACACCCCACAGAACAGGTCAGATTTCAAGAAGCTGAGGGACTGGTGTTGGAGTGTCAGTTAGCAGGAACCTGGTGTATGGAGCTGTTAGCTTTAATAGTGCTGCATATGGTGCTAGTACTAGCTTAGCTAGCAGACTGATAGCTCCACATAACACAGCAAAAGTTTGATTCCAGCTAATTAATGCACCAGTGACACCAAATCAGAGAATAATGACACATCTCAGACAGCAAATTGAGTGACTGGTGTTGGAATGACAGTACATCAGAATCATGAAAATGTTAGCCTACTAGCCATCGCTGAGCCGCTGTGTGCACATCATCATTTTCTAGCACTGATTTAGCATTACAACCAACCACAAACAGTCTCACAGCTTTGTACACTGTTTGGGGTGATTTTCGGCCATTCCCCCTGGCAGATTTGCTCCAGGCAGTTCAGATTGTTTGGAGGACGTTTGCCAAACCCCACCACCTCACCGCCCTCGCCCTGCCTGCCAAACCACACTACCTCACCGCCCTGCCAAACCCCACCAAACATCATGTTCATGTCATCCTTTCTGGTTAATGCTGAGTTTAGATCTCTCTCTTTCTCCTACTGCAGAAGCAGTAACTCAGATTTGTTCATCTTTAACAAACTCTCCCCTTGGCACTAATTAAGCACCGCTGGCCTGAAAATGTGAAGATTCATCAAAGACAAGCTAACGTCGGAGCTTGTCAGTGAAATTATCACACCGCTGTTCATGGCCTGTACCATCTCTGTGCATGAATGTGTGTGTTTATGTGCATACATGTTTTTTTTTAACAGTATTGCATCAAAGTGTCCGCAATTAAGTTGCAGTCCTCAACAACAAAAGCTAATTTAAACTATTTCTATTTTTTCAAACGTTTGTGGAAGCACTGAAGATGAGTTCCATAGTAGTTGCTGTAAAGCTGGACAACGTAAATCCTCTTAACCCCAGTCTAAGCACAGTCTACACAATACTGGATAAATATTTTTTTTATTGTTCTCCTACATAGTAAACAGCTGACATGCAGGACTGCTTGTGTAATGTATGTGTTTTAGACTGTGTAATGTGTGTGTTTGACATGCAGGATTGAGTGTGTAATGCGGGTGTGCGTTTGCAGTATATGGTATCTTTACTTTATTTTATCTAATATGGCATTTTGTCAGACACATCAATTTGAGTGTGTTAGGCTGTAATGAGAAGAAATGGGCTTAGCGTGGAGAGGGTGTATGTGTGTGTGTTAGATTGAGGAGTGTTTAACATCTCATTTTCGTGTGTCAGGAGCACTTCACAACTCCATTTCAACACTGCAGCAGCTCAGACTGACAGCACACACACACACACACACACACACACACACACACACACTTGACAACAAAGAAAGACCTTTAAAGACAACCAGCAGGAAAACATCAATCAGAAGTAGAGAAAAGGGGGGGTGGGGGGTGGGGGGCAGAGAAAGAGACCCAGAGAGAAAGAGAAAGACAGGGAGACAGAGAGAGATAGAGAGTATGCATGTACCCCAGCATCTACACACACAAAGTCTGGTTGTTACCTTTCTTTTGGCTGGCCCAGTCCGTGCTTGCCCAGCAGATGTGTGTTCAAGTGCTTCTTCATCACAAATGCCCACCTGCAACAAACACACAGAGAAAAGAGTGATGAAGCAGAAAAACACTGGCAGCAGAAAAGAATGTAGTAAAAATACTGTACTGCAACACTACACTGAAAACTGCCACCACTGTTGCCCATTTCTAACAATGAACTAATATCTGGCTAATGGGCCCAATATCGTGACGAACTTTTCACTTTTTTTCAAAATTAAAAGAGTATGCAGTATGTAGTAAACATTGTTAAAGTTATGAACTATTCACTCCCTAGTCCATACAGTCCATGTACATCTGATTTCATCTCATGTGAAACAAGAAGTCATGATTAACCATTTAAGTGTTCCTAATTGCTCAGGTGAAACATAACATAATGAATGGGAATATACTTCAGTTACATTTCACTCATAAGAATTTCTAGGACTATCAATAATTGTGGCACACAGATATTTAAGTAAAATATTTATTTCATGGCAATATTTATTTTTTTCTTTCAACTCTACCTTAAATAAAGGTTAGATTTTTAGTAATTAAGTATATTTTTTACAGCTCATTTTACTTATGATTACCAGCGTGCCAATTTTTGTGGAGGGCACTGTATGGAAAATAAGGCTGTTTTTACACCTAGTTTGTTTGCTCGCACCAGAGTTTGGATGTTTGACACTGTATCTTTTTCATTTAGTTTGGTTGGTTTTACACTGTAACTGTTAAAGTGCATCATTTGAGCCAAAAAACTCCTAATCCTATGGGCACTTTAGGGCTAATTTTTCCATCTGTGTATCTGTGAAAATATGTGGCCATTTGCATAGGTAATGTGAACATGTGTACTAGAGGACAGTGTCCAAACCAGAATGTATAGAAAACAGTGAACGAGTGAGTATTAATTCTTTCTCCAGGAATTTATACTCACTTCATTGTTTTTGTAATATTTTGAATAAGTGTTGTGTAAAATGTTTGTAATGTTGCACCTTTGCAGCCAGTGAATCTACGAACTGCTCCTCATCCACTGAGGATAAAAACTTTGTGTAGTCCCTTACTCATCGGCATCTACCACTACACCAGCTAACTATAGTGTTAGCAGTTGTTTTGCCTAATAGCCCAGTTTACAGTTTTTATGTGTTATAAGTAATAACTATGTTAATATTAGCCAAAATTCCTTCTTGCCCATGGTTAACCAGATATTCAGTCATTAACTCAACACATCCTGTGCTGAAAACATAACACAGCACTGAAAATGCCATCCTGAAAATACTGTACTGAAAATGTGACACTGAAAATGCTTTGGTAAAAACACTGTACTGAAAAATGCTACATGGAAACACTTCATTGACAATGCTTGACTGAAAACACTGCACTGAAAATGCTTTAAAAAAATGCTGTATTGAAAAAGCTATACTAGGAATATTGTAATGAAAATGCTATCCTAGAAGCACTGTGCTGAAAAATACTAAATACATTGTACTAAAAAGGTTACATTGCACATACTGTACTAAAGGTACTGAAAATACTGCACTGAACATACAGTAATAGGAGCATTTATGTTTGACTGCAAAATATTTGGAGTGCGTGAGGGTCTGTGTGTGTGTGTGTGTGTGTGTGTGTGTGTGTTTGTGTATGTTTAAGTGATATGCACGTTCTGTAATACACCTTAACTCACTGTATTAAATCTTGAAGCAACTTACACATGGACACACGTACACACACATTAATGCATCACACAAACAAACACACAGACAAACACAAACACAAGAATGCAAACACAAACATGATTACAAACACCCAACTGCACGCACACAAATGCAAACATACACAGGCAAATACAAACATACTGACACACAGAACTGCACACACACAAATGCAAACACACAAAAACACACAAACATGAATGAACACACACAAACACTAATACCAGCACACTACAAACATTCACACACACTTCATACAATGCACGCACACACACAAAGACAAACATGCACAAAATCACCCAAATGCAAGCACACATGCGTGCACACATGCACACACAAACACACACACAGACACACACATACACATACGCCAAGCCAACCGCACCCAGAGACACACACCTGCAAACACACACACACACACACACACAGACACTCACACACACACACAAATGTAAACACACATACACACACACAAAATGATTTAACAGAAACTTTCCTTGTTATCCTTTTAAACTAGATATTAAAAGGTTTGATGCACTTTTTTGCTGTGCATGTTCAGTTACAACATGGCAGACTGTATTTAGGTATGTTACTATGTATGTATACTTCTGACAATACGAATGCACAAGACATTTAAGCACTTTACTAAAAGAGAAACTACAAACACATTCTATAAATATTGATGCCATATTTATTATGCATTATGACTATGATTATTATCTCATTTATCTTTAATTTTATACTTTAGAAAAAGTGTTCATAAAACATATTGTCCTTGCCAAGGTAGTCATAAACACAAGCTATTTTTTTTTAGGAAATGTTTCCGAAAAGATAAGATATATGATGCATTACTTGCATAATGAAGGGGAAAGTCAAAGGAACAAAACTGGAGTTCAACAAGTTATTAAAACAAGTTATTATTATAAGACTGAACTTTGAAGGTGTTGAAATATTCTCTGCACATTTTTTTGAAAAACTGAAAAAAGAACGCAAGCTGTCATACAGAAAAGGTGTGGATACACTAAATAGGGAAATGTTTTATATATATTCAATCATATCTATATTATATGTTGAGGCTTCTGTGTAATTTTATGTTAAATATATACAGTCATATCCAAAAGTTTAGGTGCCCCTGGTCAAATTACATGTTTTGTTGGTTTTGTTTTTTGTCGATTGAGTTCTGTTGACTAAGTGAAAATAAGTTAACACAGTCTCTACAAAGAGCAAATGTCCGCAGATTTGAATGCAGTTCATTTGCTGAATTTTACAAATTAGAAAAAATAAATAAATTGTGGTCTGCGAAGAAGTTAAGGTACATTTTATTTATTTATTTTTTTTTGATATGTTAAAACTTAACAAATAAATAGAAATGGTGCTATAAAGTTTCCCCCAAAAATATGTGTTTCCTGTAGAGGATGTGTCTTATTTTTGCAAATATGTCCATTACATTTACATTCCTGATTTAAAAAACTTATGATTAATGCCTGTTTTGACTGGAAACTAAATAAATAAGGGTAGTCTCTGACTTTTGCACAATACTGTATCTGGAAGGCAATAACAGATTAAAAACAGACAAAAAAAGAATAACTGAGTTCAATGACAAAAGTTTATACAGATGTCTAAGTATACAAAGACTAGTTTATACATGTGTTCAGTAGTCACAAATAACTATAATTAAATAATTACATATGATAGTTTTAATGTGGTGGCACCACATGACATTTTCTGGGCGGTAAACTAATTAGTCTATTTAAAATTAATTTTTACCTTTCTAAATACTATGAGACAACATATTGCTGTTGTCGGAAGAAAACCTTGTATCTCCAAAATGATAACTTTACAGGAAAAGGAAAAAAACTACTTTATTTTTAATGTAAGTCAATGGAACCAGACTTTTTTCCAAGTAATTCTGGGCTGTTTCTTTTGGTCCATTCTTCATGAAATTTACACACAATGTAATGGGCAGCAGGCATTTTCAAATTATGTCAAAAACTGAATAACGACGAAAATGGAGATACAAGGTTTTCCTCTGACAGCAGCCTTATACAACATATACACAGGACATCTTACAGATATAAAAATTCCCATTGTATTCATTTAAATAATTTTTGTATGTATTTTTTATAACATGTACTTTTAGAATTGTTTTAATTATGGTTTTCAAATCCCTTACTTGTGATTAAACCACAACATGGCAAAGAGGAAGTGAAACAGAAACAGAGCAGGTGTGTGTCTAGGACAGGTGCGTGAGTGTGTGTGTTCATTCCAACACAGGTAGGAGGTGCGTGTGCATAATGTTTATTTACACAAAAAACACCCAGCAGCAGGTGCGTGCGTTCAACAGCAGTGGCAGGTGCTCTCACACACAGATGTGCATACAAGTATATGTGTGTGTGTGTGTGTGTGTGTGTGTGTGTTTGCACGCATGTTGATCACTCTGCAGCTCCAAACTGTCACAAACAATGAGGAGTAAGGAATACACAGTACAGCAGGACAGACAGACAGACATGCGCACACACACAATGGCTCTCAGTAATTGACAGCTCTTCACTCTGACCTGAAACACACAGTATGGAGAACACTTGTCTTGTTTGTTACATTTGTTCATGATTCAGAAATCAATCACTAAAGTTATAGTGAGAATTCGAGTAATTACACAAAAACAGAGAGAAAGAGAGAAAAAAGTATTCTAGATAAATTCAGCAGGGCACTCTGGATACATTCTGAGGAAAATCTGTCAGAAACTTAAGATAAAAGAAGCTGTAACCAAAGGGGAGGAGCCTCAGTTCACCTGTCAACAAACTGAAATAAACAAATAAACAAACACAACTCACGGTGAGACAGCTGCACCTGAGCAGACAGCACCAACACACACACGCTTTCTCACTTCACTCTCACAGTCCGCAGCAGTCATTTCTATAACAGCGCTCAGGGACAGATCTGACACCCATTACTCTGTGTGTGTGTGTGTGTGTGTGTGTGTGTGTGTGTGTGTGTGTGTGTGTGTGTGTGTGTGAGACCACTCTATGGCTGCAATGTTTCATAGATTGTACAGGAAATATAGAGGGCAATATTCTATTGTTTCATTGCACCATAAAAGAAGAAATCACAGTATCACTTTATAATAACAATCTCTAATAAACAGCAACATAATCATTGTCTAAAAGCTTTATTAATAACTGTTAACAACAATAGAATACACAATATATGGTCAAAAGGATGTGGTAGTGAGTAAGCACTTGGTAGATCTGCTGTTGTTGCTTCTAAATGCTTCCATTTCTGGGGCAGATCTAGAATGGTAGAAATTTACAAACTGAAATATGGCAAAGGTGGCATCCTAT